AGTACTTAGTGAAGTGAAAAAAAGTGTTGTTGTTACCAATGTCCTGTTACACATTTGTACTTACACAAACCATTCTGTGGGTTGTTACATGTGTGTAGTTACAGAAATATTAGAGCTGTAGATACTATGTACCAATGTGTACTTACACTGTGGTTACATACTACGTACACATCTAGTTACTATGCAAGTACACAGGTATTAGGGACATTTAATATAATACATTTCAGAGCAAATACATAAATACAGTGGGTATAGAAAAGAATACCCTCTGCCAGAAAGTTGTCAATGGGAAGAAGGTTTAGCGTGTATTCACACCAGGAAAGTCCGCTAGTTCACTTGCTTTGGTCCGGACCAAATACAATGTTGATTTTTTTTGTTTTGTTGAGTACTTAGTGAAGTGAAAAAGGTGTTGTTACCAATTACCTGTTACACATTTGTACTTACACAAACCATTCTGTGGGTTGTTACATGTGTGTAGTTACAGAAATATTAGAGCTGTAGATACTATGTACCAATGTGTACTCTGCTGTATTCACACCTGCCCAAAATTCGTTTGGAACCGGACCGAGACAACCTCTTCAGCTGGGTCTCGGTGCGGTTGTTTGGTCCACACCCGAGTGCGATTGCTGTATTCACACCTGCCCAAAAGATCTGCACTAAGGTGGGAAACGAACTTGAGTTTCGATTCAATCGAACCAAACAAGACAGGTGTGAATACACCCTTACCTTCCAACATGACAATGACCCAAAGCACACAGCAAAACTGACACACAGTGGTTGAATGCATGGCCTAGTCAGAGCCCAGACTTAAACTCCATTGAAAATCTGTGGAATGACTTGAAGACTGCAGTCCACAAACGGTCACCATCAAATTGAACTGAACTTGAGCAGTTTTGCAAAGAAGAGTGGGCAAATATTGCTAAGGTAGTAGAGACAGAGACAGATCCCAACAGACTAAAGGCTGTAATTAAAGCAAAAGGTGGTTCAACAAAATACTGACACAAGGGGGTGATACTTTTTCCAACTCAGTGTTTCTGTTTTTTTTATTTTTTTCTGACACGTTGGTGTTATATCTTTTACTTGGATGTTATAAGTTGCACTGAGTAAATACAGCTGGATAAAACACAAACTGTGTCCGTCTTCATTTCAGGCTGCAAAGCAACAACATGTGATTCTTTTAAAGGGGATGATTCATTTCTCTACCCACTGTACTTTAAAGGCTAAGACATTTTTATTATTAGCTACATTTTTTTAGCCTTTTTTTTTTTTTGCTCCTTCTCACTAACAATATTAATTTACATAAACTGATTGTGCTAATTTCCTTCTTAAGGTTGTCTTCCCTGAAGAGAACTTCCTCCCATTAAACAAACTAAAGGAATTAGAAAGGTACTTACCTGAAAAACAGGCAAATATTGAGCCTGACGGCATGGATGATGACCTCTATATATACGCTGACCTTGAAGACTGTGATCTGACCCATGAACGCCACCATTACCACTATATAGAGGAGGAAGACTTTAACCCATCTGGAGGTGTCCAGTGCCAAACCTCGTAGAGATTCCTGTTCCCTTACCCTCCCTTCCACAACAAATGCCACCTCTGCTGGAACACAAGGAAAAGGACCAAGAGGGAAAAAGTTATTTACCTCTCAACTAGTTCTGTGCCTAGAATAAGACCTCTTAGTGCCGACCTCTTGTGTCATTGTTTGGAAGAAACTCCTCATCCAAAATTTTGAGCAAATAATTTGTGAAATAAACTTAGGGGATGTTTAAAATGAGTTGTGAGACTGGTGCCATAGACTTTCAATTGAAGGGAGAGTCTATGGAAATGTGTGTAGCAGTTACAGTGGAAATGGGACATTCAGGTCAAGTTGGTTGTGCCATAATCCCAGAAAATTTCATCTCTAAAATGTATTTACTTTGAAAATCAAATTTACATCATCAGTTTGAGAAAACATTACAATCTTTGTGTTTTGTTTATTGCCAGTTAATTGTGGTTTACATGCAAGACATGTTTGATCTTGATGTTGTTGGAAATTTGCTTTGTGCCAGTTTATTCCTAAATGTTTTTCTAGAACATTTTAAACTAATAAGAGGGTTAATTAAGTTTAAAATACATTTGAAATTGTGGTATTTCTAAAGAAGAGGAACATCTTGTTCAAAATGATGGCAGACTGAGATGCATTTCTTAAAAGCCTTATTTTGTAGAGAGTGATATTAGTTGGCTTCTTAATTGGTTGGTATTATTATTTTCGTTTTTGCAAGCAGATAAGTCTTATATTTGATTATTTGTGTTGACTGAAGATTAATTGAAAAATGTGGACTTTTAATTATGACCAATAACTGCCATTTGTAGTTCTATTTATAAAATAAATGTCACAATGTTATTAATTTAGCCACTTTTGTATTTTTGGGGTCTGGGGGAATTGAATGTTTGGCTAATTATGCCAAAATTTGGGTACTTGTGGAAATAAACCTTCCTCCTGTTTGATTAAAAAAATCACGATGTACATCTTGTATATGAAGATGTCTCTACAGCTTTATTAGATATCTACTGCAAATATCAAGCACACATCTAACCAGTTAATGATGCATCTTAATGACAAATCTTCTTGAAAAGTTTGTCATGAGTTATTCATGCTTGAATTTTAATTAAACTGCAGCAATTTACCAACACTGTAAGATACTCAGAGACTTGCACTGTAAAGCAGTGTTATACCAATATTCAACAAAAATTGTGAATACCCTTGATTAAAAAATAATCTGTAATAATCAGAATACAAACCATACTGATTACTTCATACAGTATTGCAGTAACTGCATAATATGTTCACCTGCATGCAGTACAAGTAGATGTGCTTGGTTGAGTGTTAAAACACACCAAACCATTATAATCAACACAATATTGTACCATATGAATTCTAAACGTATCAGAATTCTAAATGTACACAAGTACAAATATGTGAATATGTCCTCATTGAGTCCAAGACTTGTGCGATGTCACATTATGAGCAAGTACACACTATTTGTCTTTGGCCAAAATGATCAAAGAAAATACATACATTCACATATAAGATGTCAAAGAATGGTCTGGAAAGAAAACCAGTACATTTACCACACTAATGTCGATCGGGCTAAATCTTGCATGCAGATATTATCACAGACAATACTACAAAGCCCTTAATAATAATAATAGTAAAAGACCAGTACATCCATGCAGTATTTCTTGTTTTCCACTAGAGACTTCCGAGGAACGTTAGTATTACAGAATTGGATGTAGTTAATTTCAGATGTCGAAGAGGTCCTTCATCTCAAGGTATGATGCTAATGTTCAACAGGAACATGAATCTTTTTGAGCGCTTTGAATGGAAGACCAATGTCATAGCACGCGTATAAAGGCAGAGACATATGTGTGTGTGCAGGAATACCACAAATCCTGAACATAAAACTCAAAAAATGTGTACAGAGTCCATATTATTCTGAAAGACAAGACTCAAGGCTTCCAGAGCTTGAGCAGGCCATCCTCGCTGTATGTGGCGATGAGATTCTGATGGGGGTGGTGAGTTATGCCAACCACGTCTTTTTCATGTACCTGTGGAGGATGCACACACACAAACACTTGCTTAATTTAAAGCAGAGTTCATTTTATATCCAATTCAGTTTTGATATATATCTCCAACTAGTCCTAATTAGAGGTACAGCCAGTGTTTTGATTATAAATACCAATTGTTCTGGAATACAGAGAAGACAACTTCAGCTGTGAACCTATCACACTTCACCAGACTAAAACAGATCTCGTGGATACACAGCATGTGCTGTGGAGGCGGATGGTACCGTGAGGGTTCTCTCTAGTTTGCCAGTGATGGTGCTGAAGCAGTACAGCACATAGTCTTCTCCCACACAATAAATCCACTCTCCACGTGGAGACAACGTGCAGCAAACAAAGTCTGCCCCCTCTCTTACGCCTGAACAGAAACTCCTCATCACCTGGGAGGGAAAAGAGGGGGGGGCAAGAGAGTGAGAGTGAAAGTGCAATGCAAATGAGTAAAGGCACGCTTGTAAAAAAATAAGTACCAAAAAGCATGCGAGAGAGGGTCATCAAATACGTCAAGAAAAGAGTGGATGAGACAGCTGAATAGGGTACACCTTATAAGCCATCAGACGGTCAGGATAATAAGTGCGTAGCTATTTTTAGCAAACCTCACAAACTGCATTGGAAGTCTGTTGCTTTTTTTAAACGTCTGCTCAACATCCAGCCTTTAGTCAAGGTTTCTGATTCATTAATGGTGTTATTTTGTGCCATTTATGCCGGATATGAAAACCAGTTACTGTAGGTTTCACTCTAGTGTAAGAGTCTTTTTAAAATAATAATGAGGAGGATGCAGAAGTATCTTGCTCAGTATATGCTGGTTCATTTTTGTTCTCACCTGGCCATGAATGTTCGTAACAACCACCGTGTTGGTCCTATTGCACACCACAAAGTGCTCAGGAGTCTTTGGGACAAGCACAACGTTGTTAACAGTGATGTCTGTACCATCAGGAATGTCAGGGGTTTTTATTGTGTGAGTGCAATCCATTGTCTTCATGCTCCAGACCTGAAAAAAAGACAATTAAAGGGATAGTTCACCCAAAAAAGAAAATGTGATGTTTATCTGCTTACCCCCAGGGCATCCAAGATGTAGGTGACTTTGTTTCTTCAGTAGAACACAAATTATGATTTTTAAGTCCAGCCGTTGCAGTCTATCAGTCGCATAATGCATGGCAATGGTAACAAAATCTATGAGAGTAAAAAAAACATGCACAGACAAATCCAAATTAAACCCTGCAGCTCTATCTACAATCTCAATTAGTAGTGTCAAGAAGAAGACGCCTCACGCGCCTGTTGCCTTGCACAGACCGATCGTTTCGTGTCTTTACACATCAATGTATCGTCACGAGCCGCAGGGTTTAATTTGGATTTGTCTGTGCATGTTTTTTTTACTCTCATAGATTTTGTTACCATTGCCATGCATTATACGACTGATAGACTGCAACAGCTGAACTTAAAAATCATAATTTGTGTTCTACTGAAGAAACAAAGTCACCTACATCTTGGATGCCCTGGGGGTAAGCAGATAAACATCAAATTTTCATTTTTGGGTGAACTATCCCTTTAAGCAAGGAAAATCCACACAAATAAATGGAAATATGCATAGGCTATTGCGTGTTGTTCGCCACAGTATGAACACTTACCTTTACTGTGCCATCTGCTGACGCGCTAATGACATGCTGGCCCTCGTGTGAGAAGATGATGTCATTTATATGAGCCGTATGGCCTCTAAACTCCTTCAGCATCTTTCCTGACTTCAAACCATGAAGCCTGATCAAAGAAATCCAAGAGTTAGAAATGAACCACAATTGACAAATTCAAATTCATTCTTTAAAAAAAAGTGAAGCTTTAGCAAAGGATTAACAAAAAAAGCAATACAACAAAACAAAATTAAATCATTAGATGATGTCATGAATCATCAAAGAGACTTCGACAAAGATAATTTTCATTCTAAAAATCATACCTGAATGTCATAATGCAGAACAACAGCTTTTGTCTGCAACATGTACAAGATGATTTTATCATTTTCACAGATTCAACTTGTTTCTTTATAAAGGAAGCCTGAGCAAAAGAGTGACCCCCAAAACAAAAAAGCAAAATACACACACGCACACAAAAAAAAAAAAAATATGGCGTGGAGAGAGTAAAACAACACAACTTTTGTCTGCATTTTACAATGTGATTGTATCAACTTCACAATTCGCAAATTCAACATGTCTTTAAAAAGTAAAACTTGACCAAAGGAGCTATAAACCAAACAAAACGAACCTAAACAAAAACCAACGCGAAACAAAAAACAAACAAAGCAAGACATGAAAGCACAATACTATAAAACAAAAAGCAATATGTCAATCAATCAATCATTATCATCAAAGAGAATATAAAAATCATGCATCAATGTCATACTAGGAGAAGACAGCAAAAAAACAAAACCTTTCTCTGCAACCTTCAACGTGATTCTACCATCTTTACTGAAAAAATATTGTCCTCTCATGCACATGAAATTCCACCCACATGCACCATGAGAGTCTAGCACTGCCGCCCAGCCGCAGAACTACTGCAGTCAGGACTGAGAGCGAGAGAGAGAGAGACTTTCGCTCTGGGCATGTGATGGAATATTCCTGACGACTCTTAACACCTAGACCTTGATTCGTTTCAATTTTGTCTAACTCATCTCTCTGTCTACAACAGAGAACAAAACAAAAATACAGCATGTTAACTGAAATACATCTATACTGCCATTTGTAATGTGCACTTAGCAAACCCCTCAAATGTACTCATTTCATACAAAGATTTCCAAACACATACATGATCCAAAGACGACCAATGACATAAACAAACAAGAAAGGTAACCTTTTATACATCATCTTTAAAGCCAGGCTGGCAATCACGTGTCACACACTACTGAGAGCATAAATCCAATCCATTGCAAAAGGGGAGGGGCTAGTATTGATCAATAAGTGGCCAATAGCAGAGCAGCTTGCCACTTCACCGCCCCTCCCGTTCCCTATCCAGCTAAGGAGCTGGAATGACAAAACGTCTGCCTCAGTCCGCTGCTGTTTGGGTAGCTGAGCAAGGAACAGAAACCCATTATCTGCGCGTGCTGCCTCTCTCAAGCACGTGGCCAATCCTGCTTCTTTCCACCCACATGCACCATGAGAGCCTAGAAGGAGAAGTACTGCAGTCTGGTCTGAGAGAGAGGGAGAGATGCTGAGTCTGGGCATGTGACGGAATATTCCTAATGATATTTAACACCCAGACCACGACTTTAGATTTCCTCCTCCTCCCTCGCCTTTTCTGTCTACAAAGTATCCATGGCAAAACATTCCACTAAGGTAGCCTACTGTTCCTACTGGCACTCGTTATTGCATAACAACTGATCATCTTGTTTCTTATGCATACAATAAGCTCCTATTGTGAGATCCATTACATGGCTTTCTACCTTCTGTCTCTTTTCCGTCCACTTAGCAAGAAAATCAAAGCAATTAGCTTAAGATTAACAACAAATCTGGGTAATGCACCTGCACAATTTGTGGCCAGATTCACAAAATATTCTTAAGAATAAAATTCTTCTTAACTGCTATTTTCTTACTTAAAAGAAAAACTTGAGAACTTTTTAGGAATGTGCTTATCTTTCTTCTTAAGATTGTTCTTGCAGGTATAGTTGAACCGAAATGAAAATTCTGTCATCGTTTACTCACTCTCAAGTTGTTCTAAACCTGTATGAGTTTCGTTCTTCTGTTGAACACAAATGGAGATATTTTGAAGAATGTTGGTAACCAAACAGTTGACGGTAGCCACTGACTTCCATAGTATGAAAAAAAATAGCATAGAAAAAACTTGAGGGTGAGTAAATGGTGACAGAATGTTCATTTTTGGGTGAACTATTTATTTAACCCTTGTGCTGTGCTGAAAATCCTTTAACTAATTTGGTGTTCCCTGTCAAAAACCTTTTAAACATTTCTTGTAAATTTCTCATTATGATCATTTATCACCTAATCTTGAATTCATCTTTTGAAATCAGCTTTTGCACCTCAGTTTTTGATTAAAGGATACATTATTTATGGATAATTTTGGCAATACTCACTCAAAAACTAAGGTAAATAATCTCAGATCAATGAGGCCTACAATCAATCAGTTCTAAAAAGAAATACAAAACTTGTGCTAATTAAAATAAAACAAGTTGATAAAAGGATTAAATACAATATTTGGTAATAACATAGCATAGCAAGAAATTTATAAGCAGGTTTTTGGAGGCCGGTCATTTTTGACCAGGAACAACACAAGTGTAACAAGGTGAGGGAAATAAATCCCCCAAATTTTCCAAATTTTTTGAGTAGTTGTGTGATCAAAGTCAGTAAGTTTTAGTCCAATGCAATGTTATCGCATTAGACTAAAACTTACTGACTTTGCTAGGATTATCAGGAAACAGAATATGCCCAGAACACAACATGAGGTTTAAGAGAAAACTTGAAAACATCTTATTAAAGATCATTGTAATTAACCTCTTAAAGGGGTCATATGATGCGATTTCAATTTTTCCTTTCTCTTTGGAGTGTTACAAGCTCTTGGTGCATAAAGAAGATCGATAACATCCAACTTGTTTTAAATCCCCATTGTTTAATGAATTTTTGGGGTTGTTTTTAATTAATTGTTGTAATTACAACTTAACACCAGCTTCATATGATAAATATTAAGGACCCACTTTATATTAAGTGGCCTTAACAACTATGTACTTACATTTAAATTAATAATTTGGTACAATGCACTTATTGTGTACATACATGTTTTTACATTGTACTTATATTTAAAAAATAGCTGCATGTAATTACATCTGTAATTAATTTCTGTAATTACATTTATAATTACACAGTTGACCCATCCCTTACACCTTAACCCACCCTTAAACCTACCCATACCAACAAACCTGTCCCTAACCGTACCCATATCCCACCTCAATAGCAGCAAAAGTGTTTTGCAATACAATATGAACGCAATAAGTTCATTGTACTTAATTTTTGATGTAAGTACATAGTAGTTAAGGCCACTTAATATAAAGTGGGGCCAATATGAATACTAGGAGTGTGAAAGATTATTTGCAAGATTATTTGAAAGATAAATTACACCAGAAATCAATAATGTAAACAATGATTAGTCATGGTCATGCATGGTGTGATTCTTTTGCCGAATTTTTTTGTGAATCCGCCACTTGGAATGCCTGTCAAATGAGAGCCACTCAAATCATGACAGGAGTTAGATAACAGATCCATCTTCAGAACACAATCTAAAGGTGAACACCAATTATGAAATAATAAGGAGCGAAAAAGTGCAGAGTCAGATTTGTAATATATGTTGCACCTGATGGTCTGGTGAAAGGAGCCACTTAATAGTTGACTGCTGTCCTTGTTGAAGCAGACACAGGTGACTGCTTTGCTGTGGGCTCGTTCTATTCTATTCAGACACGTCCCGTTCAGAATCCTCCAAACCTGGAATAACAAAATGATACATCTCATCACATAACAAACTGAACAGAGATAAGTCAAATCCATTCAACTGAACTGATGGTGTGCAATGAGGTCTAATTGGGAACATCATTATTCAGTGAAGATGATAAATCATCATTTTTAGCTCTCTGTGCCATGAAATACTGAATCGCGATCACATCGAAACAGGGATTTTTAAATAAGAATTTGTAATTAATAATAATTGATCAATAGATCAGTAGATCAAAGAAATCCAAGAGATCAGTTACTCTACTGTTCTTCATGTTATAATTGCAGGACTGCAGTCACAACTGTAATCAGATGCTGTGTGATTAAAAGCCTAAATATATAAGTGCTTACAGGGTTTAATTAACATTTGCCTTCAGAGCTACTGCCCCCTGAGATTGAGGACTCTTACAATACTTCTGAAAAGCATCAAGGGGTTGGTGAGATTTTTCTTTATGTTTTTGAAAGAAGTGCTCACCAAGGCTGATTTATTTGATCCAAAAAAATATTGTGAAATAATACTTTTCAACATAAATATTTGTAAAAAAAAAAAAGTAATTTATTCTTGTGATGGCAAAGCTGAATATTCAGCATCATTACTCCAGTGTTCAGTAACATTTATAATAGTTGAATCCAGTTGTGCTGTGAAATTTATTTGAAATTTGAAATACATTTTTGTAACATTCTAAATGACTTCAGTGTCACTTTTGATTAATTTAATGCATCCTTGCCGAATTCAATTCAATTCAAGTTTATTTGTATAGCGCTTTTCACGATACAAATCGTTGCAAAGCAACTTTACAGCAAATTAAGTTTCTACAATATTTAGTGTGTACATAATAAAAGCGAATAAAAGTATTAATTTCTTTAAAAAATATACTGTACATCTTACTGAACTCAAACTGCATGTTGTAGTCATACAACAAAATCTTTCTTCAACTCACTCTGCCAATATGACTCAAAAACGAGAAAGCATTCATTTGTTTTTCTACGTGATAAGGAGTAAGAATGTCTCTTACTTCTAGAAATGAAGAACGTATGTTCAAGTTCTACTAGCTTTCAAATCCCTACCTGTTCCAGTATATATGACCAGTAATGTTTCACTCAACAAAGATGATTTTCTTTATATCAGTGTTCATTTCTGATTTGACATTTTGAAAAATATTAATGATACAGTTTCAAATGGACAAATACTAGAGATTCTGTCCAATTAGAAACATACAGTAGACTACAAGTGGAAAGGTTGATCAGTGAAGGGCCGTACCTGTATCTTTCCATTCTGAGCTCCAGAAGCGATCATGTCAGAGTCGTGACTAACTGCCAGACACAGAACAGCCTCATCCATCATCATGAAATTATCCTGAGCTTGGTACTTCAGGTCCTACTCACACAAGAAACAGACAGACAGGCAGACCATTACACATCACATTTAACCACACAAAATGACATGATTACATCATGTTATAATAAAAAAATTAGGTTTTCAGACATTGTCTAATAAGGGAATTAAATAGCATAAGAAAATACGCCCACATGATGGGTTGATTGAGATAGTAAGGCTCTTTCTTATGTCTACCAGAAAGAAGAACTACAACCACAACATACGCTTTCAAACAGCCAGAAAACCATATTATTCTGAGTCTCATACTGTACACTCAAATTCCCCAGTAGTAGTGGAAGTCCATGTGTGAGAACGGGGTAGGATTTATTTTTGGCCCCAACTGCCTCAACTCAACCTGATAGATGTCATAGAGTGTTGGGGTGACCCATATTGTATACCTCTGAGGTTTTACTTAAAACCAAGGCTCTCCCGGCAGAAAAATTAAGCCACACTTAATGTGAGAATTTATTTTTTGCCCCCACAAAACAGGCCTAGGACAGCATGACTTGCAGAGTTGATGCTCAAGAAACATTTATTATCATCATCAAATGCTGAAAACAGTCTTTGTTGATATTAATATTTTTGAGGAAGCTGTGATACACTAACATTTAAAAGCTTGGAGTCTCTTATGCATTGCCTCTTTCATGCATCAAGGAGATGATGTTCTTGAGCTGTGTAGTTGAGAAGATCAGGCTTTGAGCATATAGAGATGAATATAGACTGAATCTGTTAATAAATAATTACTTTTATATATAAATTCAGTTAATATATAATTACATTTCAGAGCATTCTAGTGAAAATACTCCATATTTGACAGAAGAACCTGCTGGAAAGACAACCATCTCTGCTACACTCCATAAATCAGGTATGGTACAGTGATTATATGAAGTCGTTTATCAAAAGGCAAATGAAAGTCATCAAGTTTTTTGTTTTATTGTACGGGTATTTACAACAAATCATTTATTAAAGTTAACAACTTTCATACTTTCAACTTCCTGTTATTCTTATGGTGATGATAACCAATTTAATTCTCTCTCCCCATCCTCTGACAACCAGTTACAGTACCCTCACGAATCATTTATCTGGCAAGCATTAATCTCTGGATGAATGCCCATCATCTAAAGCTGAATATATTGAATACTGGTGTGCTGCTGTTCATCCTGGCCAAGAACCACCCTTGCCAGTGCCTTGTCATTTCAATATACAACTCACTGATTTCATCCACACAGAATGCCAAAAACCTTGGTGTCACACTGGACAAAGACTTGTCATTTACAACCCACATACTAGCAAAAGTCAAGACACGATACCTCCTGCAGAACATTTGCAGAGTCACACATTTCTCACCAGAGAATCTATTGAGATTCTGGTAGAGGCCCTAGTATGCTCTTGTCTTGACTGCGGAGACTCACTCACAGCACATTTAATCAAACATCTACAGCTCATCCAGAATGCTGCAGCCCAGCTGATATTCAACCTTCCCAAGTACTCTCACGTTTCACCTCTGCTATGCACTCTCCACTGGCCCCTATCCATGATAGGACATATATGGTAGAATATACACTACTGGTCAAAAGTATGGAATAATTAAGGTTTTTTAATGTTTTTGAAAGAAGTCTCTTATGCTCACCAAGGCTGCATTTATTTGATCAAAAATATAGTAAAATCTGGTGTTTAATGTTTTAAAATGTGATTTATTCCTGTGATGTCAAAGCTAAATTTTCAGCATCATTACTCCAGTCTTCCGTGTCACATGATCCTTCAAAAATCATTTTTATAAAATGCCGAGTTGATGCTCAAGAAACATTTATTATCATCATCAAATGTTGAAAACAGTCTTTGTTGATATTAATATTTTTGAGGAAGCTGTGATACACTAACATTTAAAAGCTTGGAGTAAGATAAAAAAAAAAAAAAATAAATTAAATTA